TCGAGCAGTGAAATGCGCGCTTGAGCGATCTCGCGATCATGTTTTCTATAAAGTGCATTGTTTGCTGTTTTTAGGGTTTAAGCCGTTAAGAATTTTAGAGAGAAAGAAATGACAAAGTGTTTTCTATTGAAGGCTATTTTATATGAGTTTCCTTGTGTATAGAAGGTGATCGATTAATCAACGAACTACAGATTATCAAATATCAAGAGTTGTTCTATTGTTTCGTTCACAAACGAGAGAGTGGTTCTTCAGTGGATTTCGAAGAACTTGAGCCTGAAACTTTGGTGGATTTTGGAGTGGCTCATCATCATGGATTCGACATCGACATTGTGGATTCAACGTTGGGTAAGACAATTTTGAGGTGAAATGGTGGTGGAAGAGACACATAGTCGGTTCAATTCGGGCGTAGATTCGCTAGGTAATTGAAGGTACACTTCTGTAATTTTTTTTCGTCTTCTTTAGTAGATTATTTTGTAACGTTGGTCCGTTGTTTTTTTTTTTATCACAATTGAAAGCGCTTCAATTATGATTATTTTCATGTTAAATAGTTGTGTTGATTTGTGTTTGATTATTTGATTAAAATTATTATTCATTGTTTAAAATTAAAATATAATCACAAATCAATATCTTAGAAATTTTAGATTTTTCAGTCTTTTTGACAGAGTCCTACTACACCTGTTGTGAAAATTTATGACCTCATGATTTATAGAATGAAATAGTTAATGTTCCTAAATTTAATGATACGTATACCAATAATATTTATGTATATATGCCTAATGTCCTTAACTGTATTATACGATTATATTTATACATTATATAATTGTTTAGCTTTTAAAATGAGCAAAATGAGCAAGCTTCCCTGTAGGTTGAGTTTTGAAAGTGCGTTACATCTATATTTTTTTTGCAAATCAATAGTTAGATTTTTGTCTATCTATTTCTAAACCCAATAGTAGATTTAAATAAAAAAAAGTCAACCTAATGTTTAATGGATTAATGGGTACATAAAATTTAACCCAAGGGTGCGTGGTATTGTGGTTAAGACTTGGAGTTTAAACCCTAGGGTCACATGTTCAATTCCCCTCTCTCTTGGGTCAATCTCTTGAGCGAAGCATAGTTCGTTAGGAGGTTGGACCTCAAGTTGTCTAATCAGCACTTGGTGTGGGTTCAATCCTGCTGTGCGAGTCCTGACTTAAGCGGAGCTTGTCTTGGGAGGACAAGACAATTTCCCAGGTTATAGTCTCCTTGCTCGAAACAGCTAACAGGACACCCTGGTGATCTCTATAAGGGGCCTTGGACCTGCGGGAGGGTAGGGAGGATTTTCTTGTAACAAAAAAAAAAGAAAAAAAGAAGGTACATAAAATTTAGATTATTAATTTGTAAAAAATGCTAACATGTTACAAATTCGAGTATTAAACTGTTATGTGTCTAAATCTGAACTGAAAATAAGCCATTCTTTTTCAAATTGCTAGACGTTAGGCTTTGTTTGGGAAGACTAAATAAGTCCACACTTTTTATCTTTTTATCTTTTTTGGATCACATCAATCAACATTTTCTCTCTACTTTTTTACACATCTTTTTATAAAAAGTCAAAAAGTACACTTATTTAAAATATCCCAAACAAAAATTACTGAGAGTGTGTCATTTAGCCCTAACACCTTCTTAACTTGTGATGTAATATTTGCAAAAAGTGAAACTTTTATTTGGTGATATACCATAGGGTTAATTACTTTTGTAGTCCTCAAAATATATAAATTGTGTCAATTTAATTTTCAAAATTTTAAATTGTGTTACTTTAAGCTTCCTTATTTAAAAAGTGTTTTGGTTTGGTTTTCCAACTCCGTCCATAAATGCCATTAAATCTAAGGCTAAATGTGTAAATTCAATTAGAAAAATTATTTTTGACTCTCAATTTTAGTCCACATTGTATAAAGAAAATAAATTAATTTTGTCTCCCAACTTAATTCTCTCTCTTTCTCAATCAAAGTGTAGAAACTATAAATACACATCATCAAAAAAACTAGTCTAATTTACCGCTATGCCATTTTGGCAACCAAAAAAAAAAAAAAAAATCACATCTTTTTTTGAATTTTTTTTATTTTTATTAATTTTTTTTCAAAATTATGTCAAAATTTTTTACTTCTTCAATGTGTCATGTCGAGATGAATCTTAAAAGTGTATTTTTTTTTTGAAAAAGTTCAAAAAAAATCACTAAACATGAAAATAAGCCAAAAAATATTGTTTATTTTGACTTATTTTTGTCTTTTATGAATTATTTTTGGATTTTTGTAAAAAAATTATAATTTTTCAGTTCATCTTGTTGAGCTAAATTTAGAAACTTAAAATTTTTTAGAAAATTTTAAAAAAATTCATTGAAGACGAAAATAAGCTAGAAAAAAATAATAATAAAATCAAAAAATACACTTCTCAAAACACCCCTAAGTAGAAGGTTGTGCTACTCAAAAAGAGACATGAACAGACATAGAATGAAAGAACTCGTCAGGGATATGAAATGTAAGAGGAGAAGATGTAGAGCTGGAAAAACATAGAGAAGAAAAAGGAAAATCATTCTCAAATCTAAACACCTATAACCCTTTTGAATAATATCAATAGCCTAGAAAAACATAATATATGTAGACTTTGGAAAAAACTTATTTGGACAATGAGGTTTTAACCAAGGAAAGCAACAACAACCAAAAGGAGAGTAAAAATAGTCTCTATTGTTTGCATTAGTCCACTCATATGATAAATGTAGGTCTTATATAATTATTAAATTGATTTCTATATGTATTTGAGTTAGAATAGTAGAATTTAGAATCTAATAGGAAACTTAATAGGATTTGATTACTTAAGTATATGAAATTAAAATTTTCATGGATAGATTATTATAAATAGTCATGTGAATTATATAGGGTTTCTTAGAGAGAGATTGAGAGAGTGGTGAGGGAAAATAAAGATGTAGAGGTGAGAGAAAAAATATTGTGGGCATCGGAGTAAGTAAATGCCCAACTACCTTTAAGCATGGTTCAATAATCCTTGAGTAGGGGGTTAGTGGTTTAGATTTGAATGTTTCGGCCATTTCACATGTATTCTCTATTTATTCATAGTGAAAATTCTATTCTTTGAATATAGGCAATTTGAACTGAATCACGTAAATCTGTGTGATTATTTTTATCTTTGGTGTGTGTATGTGTGTGTTTCCATTTGCGTTGGTAAGATGTAAATATAGTAGAAATCCCAACATCTATAAGATGTTTGTGTTTTCTCTCAACAATGCCATTTTGCTTAAGAATAAAGATTGAGAACTCTAATTTTGACTTTCTAAAGAGAGGTTTAGTGATGTGGCAAGAAATGGGATCCACATGTAATGTGATGTGTGTGTCTATATTTTTATTTTTGTTTTTTCCCCCCCTCTTGCCACATCATTAGAGTTATTTTTAGAGCTTTAAAATTAGAGCTCTCTATTATTATTGTTTTGCTCAATAGTATTCAAACAAAAGGTTTGATAAATAGTGCTGAAAAGTGAATTGTGAATTGCGAAAACAAAAAAATACGAAAAGATTTTTTTTTAATTTTTTGAAAAGTGAATTGTGAAAATCCAAATCAAACAAGCTGACTCATTTTATGTTTTTGATTATATTACAAATAACTTTTAATCTGTAAATTTAATTTGTACAAAACTTGTATCATTAAAAAGAATGAAATCATAAAAATGAGTATAGCAATATATATTTAACAAAAATTGAAAATTAAATATTTGTTGTTGAACAAATATTATTCACTTTTGGATGAAAATATTTTAGAGGAAAATCTTTAGAGAAGAAAATGGTGATTTGTGGTTGGAGTTTAGGTGAATAGTAAGATACTCTATATTCAAATTTTGAATTAAAAAAAATGTACTTTCATCCTATAATTGAAAGTGTTGGATTGGAGATGCTCTTAAAGGGTTGGGCAGAGGGAGCTGTAAGTAGTAGTTGCAACTTGCAACGGGTGACAGGTTGTACAGTTATAAGCTAAAGAAGCACTACCAAGGCCACCCAACTCTTGCCTTTGGTGAGAGTCAAACTCCCGTATGTGAAAGGTGGGTGATAACCGCTAGGCTGGAAACCCGTTGGTTTCTTGTTAAAGACTTGTTTGAATTGATGGGCAATAACTTGTGCTTTCGTCTCTGTTTTGATTGCCCAAATGAAACATTTTGGGCAGGGCATGAACAAAGCTGGTCAGCAAAGTATTCTGGATGATTTTAACAAACATGGGTCAGGGATTACTCAACCACCACCACCTATTACTCATCAGTTATTGCTGATTCAAGAGATGTGCTAACAAGAGCAGATGCCCTTGAGATAGGTGCAACTACACCCGGGTTCAAGAGGTTTCTTCCCCTAACTGAAGCTGCAAAAGACCGCGAGAATGGGCCTTTCAGGAACTCTTTAATACATGAGGGGGAGATCCAACATTAATCACAAGCTTTTTGGGTAATTAAAGGGGGGGGGGGGGGGGGAGAGGGGGGGGAAGAAAAAAGAAAGAGCAAAGAAAGAAAGAGCAAAGATTTTCCAACTTCATCGAATACATTTGACATTGCTGAAGGAGGGGGGATATATCCTTAAATTACAAATTCAACAAAATTTACATATATGTTTGCTTTTTTGACATTGCAAACCTTTAGAAGTCTAAATCACAATGGCGTTATAAATTCTAATGCTTACAATGAAGACCATGAAAATTCATCTGAGTCTGAAAAAATGTATGCAAACGTTTCTTTTGTCTGCATGGAAGTTGCCAGTATTCCTTGCAAAAGGAATGGACCATACAAGTGACGTAGACATAAAAGCATGTTTTGCTATTGTAAGAGGAGCTAATTTAAGCCCACTAAATTATTTAGGCCCAATAGCCCAAGATTAGTGGGCCTGAATTTATCACAAGTCCAAGATTGGTAGGCAAAAAAAATTGTTTTTCTTTCAAATTTGAAGAGATCGTGAACATCTCGAGTCTAATTTTGTTCATTACACTTCCAAAATTTGTAAACTATTACTTCCACAAAAATGAAACTGATACAGACAATGAATTTTTTTACTGAATCATTTATTGCTTTTGTCTCCTAAAACACCAAATATGAAAATGAAGAAAACGAAAACACATCTAGAGAACTTCCCTATTTTCCAAAGACTCTACTATCTTTTTTGAGATGCAATAAGCAGTTGCTTGGATGGTGATCATGGGGTTGACACCAACAGCAGTAGGCAAAACACTAGCATCACAAACAAACAGTCCTTGTGCTTCCCAGCTCTCCCCATTCTCATCAACAGCCCCTTCTCTCTCACTCACTCCCATCCTACAACTCCCCATTTGATGAGCTGAGCAATAAGTGTTCCAATTCTCAACCATTGCCTTTGGTCCTCCAGCTGCCCAAACACTATCCAAAAACTCTCCCAATTCCTCCTCGCTAACCCCTTCACATTTCAATCTCTGCCCATCACTCTGGTGTGTCCCCACCTCCACCGCCCCCGCTGCCACCAAAATCCTCAATGCCCGCCTCAACCCAGCCTTCATGTTTTCCCGGTCCAGCTCACTCAACTCATAACTCACCCTCCCTTCCTGCCTAATCTCCCCCGAGCCCTGGTCCCTGATCATCGAAAACAAATGAGCCGTCCTCGCATACCCGAGCAACCGGTTCTTGATGTCGAGTCTTGACTCCCAAGGACATATTGCGGCGAATTGTCCAGGGCCCAATGTCGGAGTTTCAATCAGGGCTACGACATTGAAGTCCTCCTCGGACATCACTTTATGTACCGAGGTGATTATCCCACCGGTGTAACTTTTCCCTTTGGGCTCTGAATCAGAGTTTGGAGGAAAGTACCCCCACGCCATTAGGACCGGATGGAGGTGGAGGTTGCGCCCAATGTGACGGTTTTTTAGCCCGCTGGCGAGCATTAGGGGAGGTGTCAAGAGGGAGCCACAAGCTGAGATTGTTACTTCGGCTTCGATTTGCAGCCTCTTTGCTATGTTTGTGTTTTGACTTTTTGCTATCACTCCCAAGCATTTGTTTCTTCTTTTTATCCCCCCTCCAGCATTGCTTTTCTCAAGTACTAGTTGCTCGGCTTTGCATCCGGTTATGATCACTGCGCCATGATCCACAGCATCAACAAGCCAAGTTGAATCAGTCCCTTTTTTGTTTCCTGTTTTGCACCCAAAACAGCAAGAACCACAGTAATGATCTTCCGTGGAATTTCGCGGCACTGGCTCGACATCAAGACCCAGCTTTTCGCACCCTTTACGGAGCACTTGGTTCTTGAACCCCTCTTGCACACATTTCTCTGTAACACCAATTCTTTGACACACTACATCCAGGGCAGAGAGGTACTCAGGGCTTGAAAACAGTGAAAGTTTACAGTCCTTGGCCCATTCTTGGAGCACGAAATTCGGGGTTCTGATCGATGCTGACCAGTTCACGGCCGAGCCACCACCAACCGTTGATCCTGCCAAGATCATCATTTTCCCATCAAGACTAGCGAAAATCCCTCCTTGTTCATATAGTTGACTCATGGATGGTCCTTCTAGTGATGAATAATCTGATTTTGTAAAGTAGTTTCCTTTTTCGAGAACGACTACTTTCCGGCCGGAACTTGCCAGAACTGCAGCCGCGACACCGCCGCCACAGCCGGAGCCGACTATTACGACATCACATTTGATTTTGTATAGGTCTTGTTTGGGGTCTTTTGTGACTTTAAGGCCTTTTTGAGTGAGGGAATGGAGTAGGGTTGAGTCATTAGTCTCATGTATGGTTTCTACAAGTCGTTTTTGAAGAGGTCTCTCCTCCTTTTGGTCATTGGACAAGTTTTCAGTTGTGTCTGGTTGATACCCCATTGCTTCCCATGCTGGATTGTCAAAATTTTCATCAACCTATAACAAAAATGGAAATGAGGTTCAAAACTTTTGCCTATTTAGTGGGAAAATTAAAAGAGTTTTGCTATTAAAATTTATCTTAATTTTTTTATTATTCTAACTTTAGTTGTATTTAGTAGAAAGATTGGAACTGTCTACAGTGTGGAAGCATCTACCAATCTTTGCCAAGTACAAAAAATGGCATCTTCAATTGCATTACATTCCAATTATAGGTTTATTAGTATATAGTATTTCTCTAGGTGTGCTAGCTAAAATTTGTCTTTTCTATAGATCACCATAGAAGAAGAATCAATAAAAAAAAAATTGCGCGGGAGAAAAAGGAAAACTTCATTCTTACATAAGATAATAAGTTTAAGTGCATGGGCGAAATTTACAAAATGGGTTTATATCTCATTGTGAAAATTTTATCTGTATTTCTAACGCACTTGTTATATAAAAATAAAGTAAAAATGATTGGTGTTTTGTTTTAAAATAAAAGTTTCGTATCATTTTGTTCAATAATTATGTAAGAATTTTCTATTGGGTAAATTACAAATACACCCCTTGAATTTTGATTAAAATACGAATCGCCCTTGTGATTTTGGAAATTACATTCCACTTTCTGAGGTTTCTAATTTCATAACAAATCGTCATTTTTATTAATAAATCATCAAGTCAATTAACAGTTTTTAATGATGTTAGAAATATGTTTCAATTAATAATTTAGGTAATTTTATTATTGTATAAGAGAGCAATTATAAATTTTATTTTTTTAGTTAATTTTATTAAATAAAAAATACGAACAAGGAGATATTTGTAATTTTTCAAACCACAGGAGGCAATCTGTATTTATATAATCACTAAAGATAAAACTTAGGCCTCGTTTGGGAACCATCCCTTTTAGCCAAAAAGTCAAAAAGTTACTAAATTAGCCAAAAAGCCAACAACCCATATCAAAAAGTCAAAGATTCTCTTTTCTCTCTATTTTTTTGCACATCTTGTCGTAAAAAGCCAAAAAGTTATCCCAAACATACTAGTTTTTTTTAGCTCATATTTTAGTCAAATAGCCAAAAAGTTACTAAATTAGCCTATTCTCAAACGAGGCCTTATACATTTTATTTAGAAAATTTTGCAGCAAAAGGTGGGTAAAATTTTGCTAAGGTATATTTGAAATGTTTCAATTTGAAGAGAGTTATATTTTCCAATTTAACAAGACTAATATTAATTCTAAACTTTATGGAAAATTCAAACATACACACTCTTCAAAGGGGTGCACCATATACACTCCTAATTATGTCATTTTCTTCTTTAATTATAATCATTTTTTTTCTTTAATTATGATATTGTTTTAGTTATGACTCATGAATTTTTTAATTATGCCTCATGTTATATTTAGTTATAACATTTTTTTTTAGTTATGACTATGAAAATATAAAATTATATCATTTTTTTTTTGTGGGGACATAATTTTTGAATGATAACACGTGGCCGAGGTGTCACCGAAGTGCCAGCCGAGGTGCCACGTGTCCTGGTCATGACGCCGAAATGATCTCGGCTAGGCCGAGGTTATCTGCGAAGATACCGGAATCCGGAAGTGCCAGCCAAGGTGCCATGTGTCCTGGTCATAACGCTGAAATGATCTCGGCTAGGCCGAGGTTATCTGCGAAGATACCGGAATCCGAAATAAGCGGATAAATGATAAGAGTCCTAGAATGAGAGATGACTTTCGTTTGGGTAAAGATAAGACTCTTAGAGAGTTTATCCTAATCCTACTGGGAGTCTAAGATTAGCAGTAATCCTAAGTCCATTGAAGCTAGGCTTCTATCGGGATTATGTAAGTGTTACCTATAAAAGAGAGGCATCTCCATGGGTTTAAGGTATGCTTTTTATACTCTGAATAGTGAGTTAAGCACTTTTGCTATCTTTGAGAGATAACTGATTTGATCGTCGGAGTGTTCCCGGGTAGATGAACCACTGCTGGAATCTCTTCTTTCTGTTGCAGGTCGTTCGGGCTTAATCTATTCTGCCGGTGTTCTCCAGCTGAATACTTAGTTGGCAGTGTGGTTAGAAATTGACACACACAATTTGGCACCGTCTGTGGGAAAGAAAAAAGAATAGATGGCCAACAACGGACAAAAAGAGAAGGTTGGGGACGACACCCCTACTGAAAGTGGGAAACATATTGACCTTGACGTTGAAGAAGACAATTGCAACGAAGAGACTCGTGATAAGAATCACGGAGGAAAGAACGTCGGCCAGGAGGGCGGCGTACCGAAGAAATCGGACCGGAGCGGGCATTATAACGAGGATGACCTCCAGGTATGGAAAGATAGATGCCTGCGGAGGGACGACGAGATGAAGGGAATGGCGAACAAATTGGCGGACCTGCAAACGGTCGTCAATTTCCTGATGCAGAACAACGTCATGCAGCCACCGTTCCCGCTACAAGATACGCCGATTCCAGTGACCAAGAGGGGTGCCTAGAAAGGGGGGTAGAAAACGGTTCTTGCAGTCCCTCAACATGGCAGGACCAAGGGACATTCTCACTGGCTTTTGCGGGAGGTCGAGCATGGAGAATCCCAGAAGACACGATCTCGGCTTAGATGATTAGGTCCGAGAAGAGAAGAGCTCAGCCTAAAGTGAGCAGATCCCAGATTCCAGAAGACAAGATCTTGGCCTAAATGATTAAGTCTGAGAAGAGAAAAGCTCAGCCTAAGTTAAAGACTTTTTATATAAGGTCCACAAAGGAGTAGGTGGAAGCCATGCAGGGGGCAGATCCCTTGCCCATAGAGCAATATCGCAGGGATTCTTTTGGCCTTACATGCAAAAGGAAGCTGAAGTCTATGTAAAAAAGCGTGAAAATGTTATTGAAATCCACCTGCAACGTGCGAGAGAACAACAATTCGGCTGGGGGCATACCAGCAACAACTTTCTAGGGCTTACAATATAAGAAGGTCAGCCCAAGAGAGTTCAAGTTTAGAGACCTCATCCTGAGAAAGGTTGTCGGCAATAAGAAGGATAATAGGGAGGCCAAACTTGGGCCAAATAGAATCATCTCGGTTGCCGGCAATGGGGCATATCGGCTGAAGTAATAATAAAGTTTGACTTTTGTGAATTTGAAATCTGTGCGATAGGATCGACCAGTCCTATGACGATATTTCTGATTGAAACATGACGAATAACTTAGACTTATTATATGGTAGAGTTCCTACTTGCATATAAAAGAGTTGAACTAAGTTGGCGATGTTTCTGATTGAAACATGACGAATAACTTAGACCTATTATACGACAGAGTTTCTACTTGCATATAATAGAGTTGAACTAAGTTGAATTAACCTGGACTTGCCATATCGGCAGAGTCAAACACAGATTGAAACTAAGTGCACTTGCGTAAGATTAACAGAAGAACCAAGGTTGAGAACATCGGCTAGTCTCTGTTTAAATATAGACTTTTACAACGAGGTCAGAGCCACATGCTTAATGAGAACCCAAGTGGAACTTAAGTTCACATTAGGGGGCAGAGGGCTGGAAAATAATGCTTAGGAGTTGGAATTTTCAAGCCAATATCGGTTTAACACTTGTTGAAATTTTTAAGAAAAATTTACGAGTTGAAGTTAAACTGAGGACATGTTTAACACTTGTTGAAATTTAAGAAAAATTTATGAGTTGAAGTTAAACTGAGGTCATGTTTAACACTTGTTGAAATTTTTTAAAAAAATTTACAAGTTGAAGTTAAACTGAGGTCATGTTTAACACTTGTTGAAATTTAAGAAAAATTTATGAGTTGAAGTTAAACCGATGTCATGTTTAACACTTGTTGAAATTTAAGAAAAATCTACAAGTTGAAGTTAAACCGATGTCATGTTTAACACTTGTTGAAATTTAAGAAAAATTTACAAGTTGAAGTTAAACCGAGGTTATGTTTAATACTTGTTGAAATTTTAAGAAAAATTTACAAGTTAAAGTTAAACCGAGGTCATGATTAGAGGAAGATTGGTTTAACACTTGTTGAAATTTTGAGAAAAGTTTACAAGTTAAGCCAAGGTTGTATTGAAAAGAAGTACCTATGTACTTGCCGAAATAAACCGATAGTGGTTTAACCGAGGTATTCCACCCCGAGGAGGTTGCACAGTTAAGGTGTACATTGAAGACATGAAAATTATTCTAAGTACAGAATCATGCAAGAGTAAAAAGAAGATAAACATACAAGCATTTGAAAGAGAAAGTTTGAACAAGAATGAAGATGCAAAAGTGAAAAGACGGAGAGAGATGAGTGATTTTGATCAAACACACGAAATGGCGGCAAAAACGCATTTAGTGTACTTAGGACGACGTATTTGTCAGACGGCGCACGCAAGTGAGATGGGACTTAATGGCGCGTATCAGACACGACTCAGTAGGGAAAAGACACGTGGCAAAAACGGTTGAGTTGCTGTGCATGACAGCTCATACGCGTGATGAAACTCTTGGAGTTCTTAATTTAATGGAGCAGGACCTCGGCTAGGAAGACGATCTTGGTTGTGAAACTTGAATAAAACTTGATTTTTTGGTTCTAAGGCATTGATGAAAACAAACTAAGTCTTGGTCATATTTGAGCTAACGAATGATAACCTCGATAATGAAGGATAAAGCGAACTTAGCCGATATGCTAAATGAAAGAAATGATATAGGTTCCATCACCTCAGGATACCGAGGTAATAGAACCTAGGGGGCAGTTGTGAGGACATAATTTTTGAATGACAACACGTGACTGAGGTGTCACCAAAGTGCCAGCCGAGGTGCTACGTGTCCTGGTCACGATGCCGAGATGATCTCGGCTAGGCCGAGGTTATCTGCGAAGATACTGGAATCCGGGATAAGCGGATAACGGACAATAGTCCTAGAATGATAGAGGACTTCAGTTTGGGTAAAGATAAGACTCTCAGAGAGTTTATCCTAATTCTACTGGGAGTCTAAGATTAGCAGTAATCCTAAGTCCATAGGCTCCGTTTGGCAAAGAGGTTTGGGGCTATTTTAGTCACAAAAGACAAAATAGACTATTTTAGCCACAACAAACAAAACATCACATCCAACTCATAATCATTACACTCTTCTCTCACAAAAAAAGTCAAAAAAGCCAAAAAACCCTTCCCAAACCAAGCTTATTAGCCCAGGCTAAAATAGCCAAAAAAGCCAAAAAGCCAAAAAACCAACCCACTTCCCAAATGGAGGCTGAAGCTAGGCTTCTATTGGGATTAGGTAAGTGTTGGCTATAAAAGAGAGGCACTCCCATGAGTCTAAGGTATGCTTTTAATGCTCTGAATAGTGAGTTAAACACTTTTGCTATCTTTGAGAGATAACTGAATTGATCGTCGGAGTGCCCCCGGGTGGACGAACCACTGTCGGAATCTCTTCTTTCTGTTGCAGGTCGTTCGGACTTAATCTATTCTGCCGGTGTTCTCTAGCTGAGTACTTAGTTGGCAGTGTAGTCGGAAATTGACACACACAATTATATAACACATATGTTACACCTTTTGAATGGTGTGGACCAGTGTTTCCCAAACTTTACATGTTGAGATTGTTATATACCATTATATGTTGAGGTTGATATATACCATTGGATGAATTTTATCGTTTTACTTTTTATGTGGATTCACATAGCAAATACTATATTTGTTGTTTGAATTTACATTAAAAAAATGGGGATTTTTTTTTTATTTAAGATTTTTAATATTAAAATTTTATAATAAAAAAAATTACAATATTTTCATGGTAGTTGGAGTTCCTCAACATTTTCACAGAAAAAAATTCAATACAGAGATATTTTACCCTGACATAGAAAATTTTTGGCCCGACACAAATAAATTGTTCTAATTTTATAGAGAAATTTTATTGAGACTTTAGTTTATAAAAAAAAAAATATTAGACCTCTCCAATATTAAACTACTCCTATTATATAAAGTTATTTCATTAATTTTTTAAAAAAAATTAAATAATTTATTCACCGTCAAAATATCACTTTTCTATATATTCAGTTCTGTCACGCCATCTTATCTAACCAAATTGCAAGTAATGTGTAAGAAATAAAGAAAAGACACTAGAAGCATTAAAATTATTTGTTCAAATGTTTAAAGTAAATGAATTGACAGATTATGGAAAAATGAAGAGTGAAAGATGCTTTTATCAACCACGAATTTAGTGCCACCTCCCTATTTGAAAGGGACATAAATCTGTCTCATTATTATCATATAATATTTAGGAAAGTGAAATATTGTCAATGATTATGTGAATACATTTTATATGATTTATGGGTCCCTTTCAATTTAAAACCTACGGACCATATGGTGACAAGACAAAGTTTTTAAAGTCAATATCTTTTAAAAGTACTTTGATAGTAACAATAATTATTAATATTAGGATTAATTACATTAAATTTTTTTAATTATTAGTAAATATTAATTTACCTTACTCATTTATAAATTCATATAAATATTAACCTCCTTAACTATGAAAATTATATATTTTAGAGATGATTTGGAGCAGGTCTACAAAGTAATATATTTTTCTAATTGAGAATGTCAAAATATACCAATTAAAAGATAAAGGGAGTAAAATAATATTTACTAATAGTTAAAGGGATCTTCGTGTAAATAACCCTTAATATAACAACCAAATTTAATATTAAAAAGTATCATCTTCAAGAATCATATACTGATCTTACTAGTTGAAAAAAAAAAAAAAATCATCTAATTTTCCCAAAATAAGGCAAGAGATGACCAAGATTATAGTAAGGAATTTTTTTTTAAAGTTCTGATAGTTAAATTTTATAAAATAAATAATATACAATAATTTTATAATAATTAAGGTTCCTCAACATTTTTATAAAAAAAATTCGATACAGAAAAATTTCAATTATCACAAAAAAAATTTAAAATTTTTCTAATATGTTAGGTCTTTCTATGTACTTGATTTGCTTCGACTTTTCTTTTAAAATCTTAATTATGGAAAGATATATTTGTGCTTTTAATGACTGAGATTTGTTCCATCTGTTTGAATCATGGCCAATACAACGCTTGGTTGACAGGATTCAGATTATTAATATATATAACTCACATTCTATTGTTTGATTAAAATTTTTTTTGATAGACATTTTATTTAACAAAATTGATAAATTTTTAAATAATAGAATTAAAAATAAATTATAAATACACCTCTTGAGATTTGATTAAAATACGAATCTCCCATGTAATTCTGGAAATTATATTCTATCCCCTGAGGTTTTCAATTTCATAATAAATCGCCTCTTTTATTAATAAATCATTAAGTCAATTACCAATTTTTAATGATATTAGAAATATATTTCAATAAATAATTTAGGTAATTTTATTATTGTTTAGGAGAACAATTATGAATTTCATTTTTTTAGTTAATTTTGCTAAATAAAAAATTCTAACAAGGGAATATTTGTAATTTTTCAAATCACAGAAGACAATTTGTATTTTAAGCAAACCTTAAGAAATATATTTGTAATTTATCCTAAAATTAATAATACGAAACAAACATAAAATTTAAATTATATATTTCTATATCTATTGTAAAACAAACGTAAACAAGAAGAGTTGTATACCGCCAATTCAACTAGCTAACTAATCATACATTAATCACGTTAGTCAAACATGGCCTAAGATTATTATTAAAGATTCATCACCTTCTATCACATTTTTTTACTGACAATAGGAATGGGATCCACACTCATTATGAGTAGGTGGTAGAAAACGAAATAGGAAAATTTTGGCCAATAAATTCAAAGAAGTAAGATCCCTTTGTGAAAGAGTCAAGTACGCTAGTACTCCTGATTTTCTCAGCATAGGCTATCCAATAATGGTTTCACATATATTTATTAATTTGAAATTTATTATTTTTGTGTCTAATAATAAGAAAATTGAGTAACAAATCTATTTATATTATCTAGGTATAGGAATTAGAGGGGGAAAATGGGTTAATTATACCAAAATTACATCCTCTATTAGTAAATATTACTTTACCCAATTAATTTATGAACTCGTACAAATTCACCATCTCAATTGTGAAAATCGTATAAATACGTTCTTTTTTGAAATGGTCTAAAGGGGTGAAAGTAATACATTTTCATAGTTAAAATGGTCAAAATGTATAGATTTATAAATGAAAGAGGTAAAATAATATTTGCTAATAGGTAAAGGTGCTAGTCTAATTAACCCAAAAGAAATTTGAAAAGTGAGAAACAATACCTGGGAGAAGAAGACAAAGAGGCATAAGAATTTGATGAACACAAACGCAAGTCTGATGGGAGTAAAAAACCTATGCCTTAGCCATTTCTGAATCACTTTCTCTCTCTTCTCAAGAGAGATATCTGAGAATTTTTTAATGTATGGCCATTTATCACCACAAAGACAAAGAGAACCACAGAGCAACAATGTCCCCAGCCTTGTTGATAGAACTGCTAGAACTAGTTTCAGCAATATCACAGCTTCAAAGAATGTCCTTTTCACTATCATCTCTGCAATCTGTGTTCCCATTCCAACACACAAAAAGGGTATATTTGTCAAGTAGTATATGACTTTATGAATCAACTCTCAATATTTTTAATTACCCACAAATTTAATCTTGCATACACAAACGTTTTGCGTCCCATAAAAGTCAATCATGTGACCCCTAGAAATTAGCCTATAATAAAGTTTTCATATTTAAATGTAAAATCAAACTCAGGATCTCTAAAAATTAATTTATAATAAAGTTCTTGTATTTAACTCCGTTCTCACTTGGCCACTAGTACAAAATTTTATGAATAAATTCTAAATTTTTTAAGCATGCAATAATCAAAAAATGAAAATGGTAAGTTTAAAAAAATTTTGTACATAATTTATAATAAAAATGATATAACAATGACACTTTTAAATTTATGAACACAATAATAAATGTTTTCATTATAAATAAAAAAATCATAACATTGCACATAAAGTATGTTCATATATCATTATTTATATAGGAAATACATGTATTGATTAAATCACGGATGAAAGTCAATGTGTAATAGAACTTTCATGTTCAACCCTTTAGGCATTATGCCATTCGTGCACACACATATAGACAAACATATATATATATATATATATATCTTCTATACTAACAAATAAATAAATAAATAAAATTGGCATAGATGTCACTTAATTTTATTTTTTGAAAATATCCATAAATTATGATGATTGTTATAAACTGTTTCAATTTTTTCTAATTACTTCAAATAATTGCTATAATTACCTCTAGTATACATATATATATATATATATATAGAGAGAGAGAGAGAGAGAGAGAGAGAGAGAGGGAGGGAGAGGGAGAGAATTGTAACCTCATCAGGTACTGGATTGTGAGAGCCAGAAGCCTTGTGAAAAAATTGAATGGACTTCTTGTTGGTTTGGGCTTGATTTTGAGCGACATCAAGAGAATTGAAAGGTAGGGGAGGTAAGATAGCTTCACAGACACAAGCAAGAGACTCCATCTGAGCTGCAGAGAAGCCATGACTGTATTTAGTTTCTCTCCTTCCTCCCCTCAATAAAGGATGACACTTTCTCCCCATTCTGCCCTCTCTCTCTCTCTCTCTCTCATATATTTATTTATATCATAAGAAGTGGATTATTTATAGAGGGTTTAAACTTGAAAGTTGAAACCTGGAAGTGGGCTGAGTTTTTTTTATCGATTATGATGCATCCTATTAAAAGTGATGTACTAAAGCACCACTAATAAGTTATTAAGTATTTTAAATAATAAAAAAAAAAGACACAAATAGTAAGTTCTGTCCATTACCACATCATTAGTAGTGTCTTTAGAAGTGATATCAAGTATTATTATTTTTTATTCACAATGACAGCTATAAAAGCAATTGACAATATGTCATCTATATGTTTGTTTTAAGACTTTATTGTTTTGTTTTAAGTATTTCAAGTGTGCCAAGTTCCCTCTATGTAGATAATTACAATAATATTAGATAAATTAATTAGTATATCAATAAATTTAAGTGTATATATAGAGGATTAAATACAAAACATGACACATATGTTTCGTAAGGGAATAATGTTATATGTATTAATTTGTGTACTAATTAGTATATCAATTGATGATGTGACATAATTTAAAAAGTTTTTGAAATTTGCAATGTGGTTAATGAGTGAGGTTAATAATAATGTCATAACTAGTGTTGATACACTAGTTAGTATATTAATTGGTGCATGTAGTACCACCGTTCATAAGGAGTGGGGCCTATTCTTTGTGTGAAACTCGCCTTTTATGAGACATCTATATCCCATTATATATTTGGTTTCTGTGTTCCAGATTAAGGTTTGCTACTGTGCCCTAAGGCACAACAATCCTGCTATGAGTTGTTTTGGGAGTGTTTCTCTAGTCTATTTTGATTATCTGAATTGTTTATATTGTAGAGTTTATCGAGTATGTCATCTATAAAAAATAAAATAAAATTAATCAGATATCTATAGTCCTATGATCATATCTTATATTTTTTTTAAAAATTATCAAAAATCGTGTTAACTGTTTATTTTTAAAAAAATAAATTTGCTCTTGTTAATAGGTTACAAATGTCCAATCAATTTGATTTTTTGCATGAATAATTTACTCAACGAATTATACAATATAAATAGTTCAGATCATTAAAAGAGACTCAGGACAAGCCCTCGTCGAGCGTTTGACACAACAATCCTCCATTCCATGTGTTCTTAGCATTACTAGTTAGATTTAACGTTAAGAGGGTTTCATGTCAACTGGTGAATTCGACGTGTATATATTTGTTGATATATTAATTAGTATTTATAGTGTTACTACAAAAATTATATCCATATTCAATTTATTCATTAGATCATTAAAAAAATTAAATATGAAAATTTTGAAACACGATCAAATAATTGTGAAATAATTGTGACTTTAGGACAGGAAATCCTTACCCTTTGAAGTGTTGCGCTAAAAAAAAATATATATACAAAATTTATATATAGAATGTGCGTTATTGTGATCCTCTTATTTCCATTAACAAAAGACTTATCAATTTCAATATAATAAAAATAAAAAAAGACCTGTCAATTGAGCTCTTAATATATATAAAAAAAAATGTTATTTTTGTTTTATGATGGAGAATTCTAATCGTTCATGTCATTTTAACTTTGTGTTATAATTATTTTAACGTTAACTCAATTTGTTTATTTTATTCATATTATTATGTTGTATTATTTTTTTTTTGTTTATGCCGGGACCCTATGTAGGGATCACACCAATGTACGATTTAAATTTAGCGTGGAGCACATTGAATATTTTGTGTTAAACAAAAAGTCAATTCAACCCTAAGAGATTTACTGAGTAGTAAAAATTTAAAATTTTATGTTTGAATTATTTGAAGAGACCATTAAAAATTTACCTAATCATTTATTTCATACACTATCAGAATATAATTCGAGGTTGCGTAGAGTGGTCTTAACACCAACTTATTAAAAAAAAAAAGAAAAGATAGTTAATTCTATGTCATGCGTGTTACAAGTTGTCAAAAAATATATATTTCAAAATCTGCGCATGTGGCTTGTAGTCAAATGACCTATTGTAAGAATGCCTTTGCCTTTCAAATGGATTAAGGGGTCTTCCTATTATTGTATTTTATTGAAAAAGATATTATCTTTGTATTAATTTAGTCAATGCTTAGACCAAAAAAAAAAAAATTAAAAATTAAAAATAAAAAATAAAAAAATGTCGGCCATTGAAAATCAAGTAACACACTTATCAAAATATAGAAAAAATTACAATTCAATCTATTTGATTAAAAATATTTATAAAATTATGAGGTATAACTCTTCTTCTTTTTTTTTTCTTTTTTTTTTTTGTGTGTGTAGAAAAATACAATAAAAATTGCACCCTCAAAATATTCTCAATTTTTGGTAAATTTTTTTCCCACTTTCAACTCAATAATAATTTCCAACAAAATATGTGAATACCTCCCTAAGGTTTGGGATATTAGAGTGGGGCCCACTAATTTGAAGAATTACATTGCCCACATTTCTTTTATAGTTTGTCTGAAAATTGTACCCAGAGGAAAAAACAAAAAGAAAAGAAAAAAAAGAAAAAAGAGTTATAGTTTCCCTTACATCGATTTTTTAACATATTATATCAATTTGTAATTTAAATTGTTGAATAAAACACTATGAATTTATGGGGAATTCGTGGTTAGGAGAGAATGAAAAAAATATTTAAAAAATAATAATAAGTATTATAATTATTAATAATTAAAATCATAAATTTTTTACAATGTTTTTTTTTTTTTAAACCCACCATATTGAAATTCTCCCTACAAAATATAACTAGGATCTGATTCCATGTCCATCTGTGTTAAAATTCTCCCTTGTGCGATGAGTTTGGTAGGTTTTGAGCAGATAGAGAGAGATTTGATGTGAGAGAATCAAATTTCTCTGTAATATATGAGTGTGGGATTGAGGGACCTTAGATATCATAAAATAATATTGTGAATCTCTTCTATTACTAAAAATGGAAGAATGACCTTAGACTAATTTTTCCTTTTTAATATTGGACACTTGAATCAATAGGCTTTCTTAATTATTTCCTAGATACTATAACCACTGAGTAATTTCCCCATGAATTTACATAAACAACCTTCACCACACCATGCCATTATGTTGCTCCAACATCCTCTTTCGATAGGCCACCGTCTCTTACTACTAGGAGTATGTGTGGCGTGATTTTCACGGTTTTGATAATAAAATTATAAATTAAATAGTGAATGATGAATTGATATATAATTAAATTATAGTTTGATTAGTTTTAATTTGTTAATTAATTGAATAATTTTTTAAAACAATTATCAAGTATTTATATAATATTTTTTATATATATAATACAAACTAATTATACATAATATTTTTTATTTATATAATTATTTATTAATTTGTAATAAATTTTACATTTTAAATTTCTTTCACACTCATTTTTATTTTGATATTTTATTAGAAGTTAAAAAATATATGTATTAATTATAACAAAATAGAGCGGTTTCAAAAGCGATTATAAATTTCAAAATTTAATCCTCAATTAATTGATAAATCAATATAAATTAATATAAATCGATACTATTTTAATAAATTGGACGATATTTTGTATATTATGACGAAAAATTGTTTTAGTGGCAATAAATATATCATTAAAAAAATCTAGTGACATTTCTCCGTGAAGCGGGTCTCTAACCAGTGTCATTAATACTCGTACCGGTATATTGGTAGGAACCAATGTCATTAATACTCGTACCGCTATATTGGAAGGAGTTCGCTTGCCTCTAGCTTGTGATTGGATTGAAAGATATAATTGAATTTATGAAAATTTATTATGGATCTCGTTTTAATAATCTGAATTGTTAAATGTGTAGAACTCATTGAGTACTATATGTTTGTAAACATTCACGTTGATCGGATATCGATTGCTAGGTGATCAAATCAATTTTGTATATAAAAAATAGACGATGAAAAAATAAACGGTTGATAGAAATCTGATCTGATGAGATAACTATCGATATCCAATCAATGTGATTTTTTACAAGCTTATAGCACTCTATGAGTTCTACATATTGAACGATTCGGATTATCGAAACGAGACCCGTGATGGGTCCTTACGGGCAGTGACGGAGCCAAAAAATTAAATCATATGGGGCACTTATTAATTACAATATTAAATTTTTTTATAAAAATATTTAACATAAATTTTTACCATTAACTTCAAGAAAGATAAAAAAAAAAAATTAATCAGTGTGTTTGGTTTTAGTTTTCTGAAAACTAAGTTTTTTATTTTTCGTATTTTTTTGATTTTAGTGAATATTTTTTAAATTTTAAACAATTTTTTACTTTTTTAGATGTGCATTACTTAAGATATGTATCCAAATAGTAAAATATTTGTGAAAAAATATTTTAAAAAATTAATAAACACACAAAAATACGAAAAATGTACTGAATTTTCATATTATTTTTATATTTTTTGGTATTTAGTGTATTTTTTAAAGATTTTTTTCACAAATATTATCCTTTTTAGGTATATTTATGTTAGGTGTGTCTAAAAATTAAAAAAAAAAATTACTTAAAATATTAAAAAAAATTATTGAAAACATTAAAATACGAAAAATAAAAATATAGAATTTTTTGAAAACTGTTTATGAAAACTAGAACCAAATAAGCTAAATATTATTTGTAATTAGTGTATCATGAACAATATTAAAAAAAGTCATGGATATAAAGTTTTAAAATAAATTATAGGGAGATTTACCAATAAATCCCAAAATTTGAACTTATGAACCAATTGGTCCCATTTTTATTCTATTAAACCGTTTAGTCCCATTTAATTGTGAGGGACGTAATTACCCTTATGTATCCTATATTTGATGAGGCTGGGGGCTTCAAGATTGGGTGATGCGCGTGTGTGGCTCACGTGCGCGATTAGTAAAATGGATGTGTGTTGTGTTGCATGTGATACACTGCCATGGCGTTACACAATGGCAAACCGCTGTAAGGGGTTTTTATTTGGGCTGGGCATTCTCTCACTCTCAGCATTCTGTCTCTCTCTCACATAGAG